AACCCAGGGCCTTCACACTGAGCAACGTCTTCAGCCCTTTTTCTCTTTTATTTTGAGGCAGGGTTTCACGGAGTTGCCCCAGCAGGACTCAAACTTGTGACCCTCCTGCCTGGGCCTTCTAGATGGCTGGAATTAACAGGTGTGCGCCACCTCAGCCGAAGCACACTTTGTAATCAGGCGGGTAGGTAGTAAGGAATTGGAGCTCCGCCCTGCCCAGCCCACCCCCTTGCTCCATCTTTTCCTGGGGTTCACAAGTTTGTTGTTGGTGTCTAAACCTGGTGTCTCTTTCCCCAGGCTGCTTCTTCACGGACATAATTGGGTGTTGACCTTGACCTTCCGAGGGCAACGCATCGCTTAAAACCCCCTCCAACTCCTAGCTCCAGAGAAGTGATACTGGGCGTGGCCAATCTCGGCGCTGGCGGGGAGGGCCATGGAGAAGTGGTACTGGATGGCAGTGGCGGTCCTTGTGGGGCTCACGGTGCGCTGGGCCGTCTCTCTTCATTCCTACTCAGGTAAGGCATTTGTGCTGTTTAAAAAGTAGGCAGAATGCTGGGTGTGACGCATGGCTGTCCTCTCAGGACTGGGGAGGCTGAGGTGGGAAGATGGGAAGATGGCTGCGAGTTTGAGGCTAGCCTGCCTGGAATAGATAGTAACACTTTCGTTTCTTTTGTTTTTTGGTAAGTTTGTAGTTTTCTGACTGAGGAAGGAATTTTATTTATTTATTTATTTTTGCTTTATTGAGACAGGGTCTTGCTCTGCAGTTCAGACTGGCTTGAGTTCACTTTGTAGCCCAGGCTGGTCTCAAACTCGCAACGATCCTCCTGCCTCAGCCTACCAAGTGCTATGATGACAGGTGTGCGCCGCCACACTCAGCTCTTTATTTATTTTTTTGAGGAAGGAATTTTAGGTTCTGTGGATGTGGTAAAGAAAACACATTTAAACATCTACTTCTAACTTAAAAAAAAAAAAAAACCACGTGTATTTTGTGATAGAAGAAAAGAGAAATATATTCTACCTGGGAGTGTGACAGATTGAGAAACAGTTTTTTAGACACTGACGAGCAGTGCGCTCATACCTGGCGGGGGAGTGGAGTGGCCCGTGTGTGTGTGTGTGTGTGTGTGTGTGTGTGTGTGTGTGTGTGTGTGTGTGAGAGAGAGAGGGAGGGAGGGAGGGAGGGAGAGAGTGTGTTTAGGGTGGAGGCCTGTCACTTGTACGTCACTACTTCCAGGCTCAGAGATTGCTGCAGGGCAGTCCCGGGCCTGGGGCTTGGGCGAGTTCCCCTCTGCAGGTGCTCGGTTAGCTCTGCTCAGGGCCGGGCCCTGTGCCCCGGCTAGAGGACGCTGCGGGCCGGCGCTCACAGCGCTGTCAGGAGTGCATCTGAGGGAGCGAGGGAGCAGGAGGGAGATGATGTCGGCAGAGAGATCCGAGGCACAGTTTGAGGGGTGAGTCAGAAGTGGCCAGGAAAGTCCTCCATGGGGCAGGGGCCCTGGCGCAGACGCGGTGCCCGGGAGACCAGGGCCACGGGCAGCATTCGGGATCGGAGGTGGGGTGGGGCAGTGGTGGGAGATTTGGTCATACGCCTTGTCAGGGGAGTTATTTGGTGGGGGAAAAGAATTCATGGTAGTGAAAAAAGGCCTGTAAAAGGAAATCAGCGAGGGAGGCCGGAGTCATAGTGCGCGCGGCAGGCGCTGTGTTTGGGTTGCTGTGTGCCGTGGACCTCCGCACAGCGGCTGCAGTAGCTAGCATCGCTCTCTGTGAGGGGAAAGTGGGCACCCGGGAGAGGACAGCTGCGCGACTCCACAGCCAGTGCTTTTAGGCCTGTGCTCCGAGGCTGCGCAGAAGACAGCGGCCTGGCGGAAGGCAGGGAGAAGGTGGAGACGTGCACTGGAGGAGCGCTGAGGACGCCGGGTCGTCTGAAGCCTGCAGCGAGCACAGCCTCACTTAGTTGTCCGTCTGGGAAGGGTCCACCTTCGGGAGGTCACTCAGCCCCTGAGCATCCTGTGCCTCCGTGCGAAGGCTTAGGAGGTCGCACACTCAGGTTTATCTGTTAGAGCCTTTTTGAGACAGGGTCTCGCTGTGTAGTTCAGGCTGGTCTTGAACCTGCGGTGATCCTCCTGGCTTAGTGCTGAGACTGCAGGAGTGTGGCACCGGGCCTGGCGATGAGGGTTTGTCTTTTCTTTTGAGGTTTGTTTCAGTCTCTTGGAGGTGAGTGTGGTTAGCGGTCCGGGTGGGGGATGGCGAGGGCCGCTGTGAGTGAAAACCAGCTGAACGCCATGGCGGGTATGTGCGCCTGCGCGAGGAGGGGTTTCAGAAAGAGTCTGCTTTTTAGGTTGAGGCGCTGAGACCACAAACCGAGGGAGAGAGCGTAACCAGTGGGGAGGGCGTGAGTCCATTTTGGGTGTGGTGGGGCCCATAGCGTACGGCGAATTGTGAGAAGCAGCGTTTGGCAGGGCACAGGAAGACACTGCCTGTCTCAGCTGGTCACAGGGAGCACTGCTCCAGTGGCTGCTCCAGTGGCTCTCGGTGGTGGCCGGGGCAGCGGGAATCGCAGGACTCCTTTGTTGTGCAGAACCGTGGCGGTCGGGTCCCTTTGGTTCATCTTTTCTCTGAGCTTCACGAAGCCTCAGCCGGGAGCAGAGCGAGTGCACGAGAGGTGCCGGAAAACTCCTGCTCCAGCGCCACCAGCAGATTTCTTCTCTGTCACCATCCGAAGCCTCCAGTATTGAGGGAGCTCCCAAGTGGGCGTCCCTGTGGCTCCAGGGACAGTGTAGGACTTTTTCAGTACCTGAGTGTGTTAAATATACTTGTGGTTTTAGTTTGAATTTCGTTCATGATTAATGAGCTCAAGCATATTTTTGTGTCTGTTGGCTGTTTGGGTTTTCTGTGAAATACTTTCTGTTTTGGTCCCTTGCCTTGTCTCGAGACACAGTGTCCAACACCCACGACTTAAAGGAAGAGGGGTTTACTTTGCTTCATGGTTTTTAGAGGATTTAGTTGCTACTGGGCGGGCACCAGAGCAGGAAGGCCATGGTGGAAGGGGCTGCCGGAGGGGAGCTGCTCACATCATGGGGGCCCAGAAGCAGGGAGCCAAGGAGCGGCTGCAGGGGGACGACACACCGTCTGGCCCACATCTCTGCTGGCCAGCCCCTTCTCCTCACTGCGCACACAGTGTGGATTCATCCATCAGTGAGTGCAGCGCCCTCCTGAGCCCATCACCTCTGAACACAGGGTCCTTTCGGGAGATGTTCCAGATCCAGACCAAATATGCCCCAAATTCATATCTGTCCCATCATGCAAAATGCATCTAGCTCATCTCTGAGAGCCAGCAAAGGTTTGACAGTTCCAATATTGCTGAAAAGTCCAAGTCCAAAATTTCTGAGACTGAAGACAAACTCCTAGCCATGAACCCTGCAGAAATCAAAAAGAAAGTCCACATTGCCGACATATGGGGTAGATCTTCCCATTCTGAAAGGGAGGAAGAGAGGGGTATAAAGGAATGGGACCAAAGTAAGGGGGAGACTTAGCAGAGCAGACATTCAGTATTAGAGCTCTGTGTCCAGCCCCAGGGTAAGCTGTGGTGAGATGCAGTGAACTGTAAATACCCCTGTGGCATTGCTGGTTCTAGTAGTCCACATGGCTTCTCTCTTGAGCTGGCTTTGTTCACTCCTTGCTGCTTTCCTCAGATGTCAGTGTTCCTGGCTTTTCCAGTTTCCTGGGGTCTCTACTGTACTTTCAGCTTCACCCTCATAGCTTCATGCACTGCCCTTTTGTGGGTGCATTGCCTTGCCTCCCAGGCCATCTTCTGAAATCTGGGTGGAAGCTTCCATGGCCCTACAACTGCTGGATTCTGTTTTTTTGTTTTTTTTTCCCCAGTACCGGGAATCAAACTCATGACCTTTCGCTTGCCAGGCAGGTACTGTGCCACTGAGCTAAATCCCCAGCCCCACTGCTGGATTCTGAATGCCTGTAAAACCACCCCCACAAGAATATACCAAGGACTGCTGCCAGCTGGAGCAGTAGCTGGGCCCCCTTGGATGGAGGCTGCAGAGGCCTCTGAGTGCCTGGATGACTGAGCATTGTAACCTGAAGCCCTGCAAACAAATTTCGTAGGTGAAAGCCTTATAGTTTTGCACCCTTGGGCTTGCTGATGCCTGCAGTGTCCTCAGGGCATCTTTCCTGTTGTCCTGGTAGGAAGTACTTGGCTTCTTTGTCTTGCTGATTTACGGTAGTTATCCTGTCCACAGCCCCAGCTTTGCAGGTATTTCCTTTCTTGTGGGACTGCAGAATTTCTACATCCGCTATTTCTAGTGGAATTAATTTTGTAATTTTATTTCTTTAGAAATTTGTCCATTTCACCTAAGTTTTAAAATGTATTGGCATGAAATTACTGATGATGATTTCTATTTCTGCTGTTTACTTATAGTTCTTTTTTCATTAAATTTTTTTTTTCGTGGTACTGGGGATTGAACTCAGGGCCTTGTGCATGCTAGGCAAGCACTGTACCCCTGTGTTGCATGCCCAGCCCTCTTTTTTCATTCCTTACATATTTAATGTCATTTCCTTCTAAAAAATCACTTAACAAGAGGTTTATTTGGGTTCAGTGGTTTTTAGAGGATTTGGCCCATAGCTTCTGCAGCACAGGGAGGTGTGTCAGGAGGAATTTTATTCCACGTTGTATGCTGTGGAAGCCAGTCCTTCTGTAAGCTGTAGGTATCCTTCCCTGGTTTGTGGCTTGTCCACACTGTAAGGTGGCTTTTGCTGTATAGAAGTTTCAGGTTTTGGATAGATAATAGTATTTACCTTTTTTTTTCTTCATGATGTGTGCCTTGTATCTTTTAGAAATCCTTCCCTGTTCCTGTGTAACAAAGGTATTTTCCTAAATTTTTCCTCTGAAAGTTTGAAGATCTGCTTGCTCTGTGCGAATCATTCTTTCCTGAGGACTGACTTGTGTACGTGCCTGCGATGGGTCCCTGGACCTTTCCATGTGGATAACTATTGCCCCAGCCCTTACCACTGGCCTTGCGGCAGGCCGTCTGCTCAGGTGTAAGGTGGTGTCTCGCCAGCTCCCTTCTGACCCATCCTCTGTGCTGCCAGCTCTGTTACTGTCATCCTGCGGTGGGCTGTGACATGTCGGGGGTACGTGCTCCCACCGACAGCTCTGCCTCGGGGATATCGTAGCTGCTTGTCCTCAGGGAGCACGGGATTGAACCCAAGGCCTTCGCCCTGAGCTCCTTCCGCAGCTCCTATTTCTTCGTGGCCCACACAGAGTCCTCACCCTCGCATTTCTCTCATGAGGCTTCATTTGCTTTTCTCGTCTGGAAAGCAAGATGCCTGCTGAATATTTTACCCTGGTTCTCAGGTTGTCCTGAAGAAATCATCAGAGTGAGATTCACTTTAGTCTGTTGTATATTCCCAGCACTTAAGAGGCTGAGGCAAGAGGACTGCTGTGGATTCAAGGCCAGCCTGAACTACATAGTGCTAGATCCTGTCTCAACTCCTCCCCGCCCCCGACCCCTACGAAAAAGATTAAAATCAGGAAACATTTTATGAGAAGAAAAATATGTTTCTTTCCAACTTTCCTGGTTTTCTGCTGGGGCCCCGTAACAAAAGACAGGTTCGGAAGAGAAACCCACGTGGAGGTGGCGGCAGACGCGGGCTCAAGGCTGTGAGCCGGTGCCCCCACCCTCTTGGGGCCATCGCGTGGCCCAGGGCCCTGCACTGCTGCTCCTTGGCCGAGTGCTCACTGCTCCTGGTCATTCTTCGTGTGGAAACGCACAGATACTGTGGATACTTTTTTGATTACTGTGTTTACGTTTTCTAACATTTATAAACTATGTTAGAGCTGGTTGTGTATTTTAATTTTCACAGACCTAAAAATACTGACTACATTTTGGTTTTGGGTTTTTTTTTTTTGGTACTGGGAATCAAATTTGGGACCTTGCGCTTGCCAGGCAGGTGCTTATGCCGCTGAGCTCCCAGCCCTTGGCTTTTGCTTTTAAACAATCCATGCACAGTAGACAAATGTGTGTACTATTTGTAGTTTCTTACAGAGATTCGTAATTCCTCTGTGCTTGATCCAAAGTGTTAGCGATGTCCTTAGATGAAGTAACAACACTTGACCTGACGGAGGCTGTTTTATTTTGATAATCTTTCCCCGCCAGCATCTCCAGTGTATGGGAGGAGAAAGCCAGAGAGAATCAGTGTGCCAGCTATGAATCCTCGTGACATTACAACTGGCCCACTCTGTTTCTTTTAACTGCGGCTGCTTGTGAGGACGTACACCGTCTCCCTCACCCGGGAATAGAAAAGCAAGATTGTACTACAGAAAATTCTTAGCCAAATTTGTCTTCTCTTAAATGTTTAGTTTTGTTTTGTTTTGGGTTGTTTTGGTAGGGTTTTTTTTGAGACAGATTCTCGCTGTGTAATTCAGGCTGGCCTCAAAACTCACATCAGTCTTTTTGCCTCAGCATTCTGAGTGCTGGGATTATAAGTGTGCGCCACCACACTTGGCTTAAATGTTTAAAATTTCAGTGTGAAGGTCATGTAAAATACATGTTGTTAACAAAGAACCCCCTTCCCGGGTGTGGTGGCACACGCCTGTAACCCAGCACCTGGGAGGCTGAGACAGGAGGATCGTCGCGAGTTCGAGACCAACCTGGGCTACTAAGTGAGCCCAAGGCCAGCCTGAACTGCACAGTGAGACCCTGTCTCAAAAAAGACAAAAAAAAAAACCCCAAAGAATCCCCTTGTCTTTGGATTGGAGGAAGAGTGAGTGTTGGGGCGCTGTTTCTGAGGGGAGCAGAAGTGAGGCTGCGCACCCCGTGCTCTCTCTCTGCACTTCCCTGTGGCACGTGACAGAGCTTCTGGGTGAATTGAAGCGTGCGGCTGCCCCTTTGCCCTTCTGAGGACAGCTCCCCCAGGTCCCATTGGGCTGTCGGGGTTGCTTATCGGCGGCACTTGAACGGTTTTAAAAACCTAAGTACTAACTTCATAGCCAGTGTCAGCTGAGGTGACTGAAGTAGGTCCGACTCTGGATAAAAACTTGTCTCCCAGCCCCAAGGAGTCACTGTCCATTCTTCTGTTTGCACGAGGTTGGTAATAAATTCTTGTGCATTGACCACACATCTATTTCAATTTCAGAAATCTTTTTTTTTTTTTTTGGTACTAGGAATGGAACTCAAGGCCTTGCGCTTACCAGGCAGGTGCTTATGCTGCTGAGCTATATCCCCGGCCTTATCTGTTGACATTTTACTTTATTTTTTTTAGTTTTGGAAATCTTGATCGCTGCATTTTTTGAGGTGTAGAAACTACCTAAGATCCTCTCTGACTTCTGTTACCCTGGTGTTCCAGAACCAAAACCAAACACAGAAAGTAGAATTCATGCCTTTCCTCCCCCCAGAAGAAGCCACGCTCAATGGTTTGTTTATTGAGATAGACCTTCACACTCTCCCACACGCATGTACAGACACACACACAGTCCTGTACATACATGGAAAATACAGTTAATTCACGGGGGAATCCTTGCCCTTTAGAGAGCATATTGCCCCCCATCCTCCTCCTATTTGGGTTGATGTGTTTGCTTTTGTTTGGAGACAGAGTCTCACTGGGAGTCCAGTCCTTGAACTCCAGGCTGTCCTCCTGCCTCAGCCTCCAAGGCCTAGGACCCCGCTGACTAAGCAGGTGTCTACTACTGCATGCCCACAGGATATGCCCTTTGAATGTGGACTAGGTCTCTATCTTAGGGACGACAGTGGTTTTCGGGCCGCGGTCAGGAGGCAGTGCCCTGGAAGTGAAGTGGGAGAAGCGGTCATCAGGGTTGTGTGTTCTGAGTGTGTCAGGAAGGTTCCGGGGTTGGGATGGAAGCAGCCTCTGGGTGCTACTTTAGGGCGGACAGAGAACATGCCCGGTGGCCGTACAGTGTGGGCGCAGGGCTCACGCTCGGTGCAGTCCTGACCACCTCTGTACGTCCCTTGGGCTCAGCACCTCGCCGTGTCCACCCTCGTAGTCCCCTGAGCCGGTCAGAGCCCAGTGACGAGCCAGCCGCCGGGTGCTCCTCAGAGGGGAGAGTGTGGTTACAGCCCGGCCCATTGGCGCGGACAGCTCGCTCACTGCGCTCCGGGTCACTGGGGCGACCTCAGGCTTTAGACGGGGGCTGCTGTAATAAACAGTGAACGTGGCCGGCGGGCGGTCCCGGCGGCGCAGAGGCGTGTGACATCATGTGTGCCACCGGCCCCACAGCCAGCGGAGCCACGGCCGCAGCGGCCAGTGCCAGGTGTTAAAGGCCACTGTCCTTCTACAGTCTGAAATTCAAGTTGAGCTGCGGGCTGCAGCTTTTACGCCACTCATTTGGGAACGAGGCCTGACCTGTCGTCCCGTGAGTGTTTGCGGTTCGGGCCCTGGCGGTGCAGAGGGTAAAAGCCCTTGAAGTGCCCCGCTGTGGGAGCCTCACCTGTGACACCACTGGACAGCCTGGCCCGCAGGCTTCCGCCGGAGCGACAGGACCCTGTGGCCCGCGGTGCCGCTCCTCCGCGACGCCCTCCTGTCCCTGGTGGGAGCCGGGAGAACGCTGCCGCCTCCGAGACGGGTTCGCTGTCCTGCAGAGGCCGTGGGGCGCCCGCTGAGCTAACGCTGGTCCCTCTGCTCTGTGCAGGTGCTGGGAAACCTCCGCTCTTCGGGGACTACGAGGCTCAGCGACACTGGCAGGAGGTCACTCTGAACTTACCGGTCAGACAATGGTACGAGCACCCTCCCGGGTTCCGCTGTCTGTCCCAGTGAGTTACTGGCCGCGTTCTTCGGAGCCACTTCAGAGGAGACCCCTCTGCTCCCTCGGCGTCCTCCCCCGTCCAGAGTGCAGGGCACGGGCTGTGTGTTCACCCCTGTGGAGCCGCAAAGCCCCAGGGCGCGGGTCCTTTCTGCTCTGAGCCGCTCGGCCCGGGCCCCGTCTTCTGCACACACCCGCTGCCTGGGCTGAGCCAGCAGCTCGGCTCCGCTGTGAATGAGGCGCGTCTCTTGGTCTCGTGGGGCCTTGTGGAGTGTTGGGCTTTGTTTTGGTCCCGGGCTCAAGGCCAGGCCCTGAGCAGGCCGACAGAGCTCCACCGCAAGCGCCGCCCAGCCCTTCGGTCTTTCTGTCTTGAGACAGGGCCTCACAGAGCCGCCCGGGCTGGGCTTGAGCCTGGGCTCCTCCTGCTCCGGCCTTCCGAGTGGCCAGGCTGCAGGCGTCCTGGGTGAGTGCTGCAGTCATTTTGTTAACTCCCTCGGAGGAGGTGTGACATCGAGGAACCAGGGCCCAGTGGACACAAGCTCAGGAACGGCGGTGGGGGTGGGATAGCTTTATTCTGCACATCACCGGCGGCTGTGTTGTCCTTCGCAGTTGGGCTGCCTGGAGGAGTCTCCCAGCAGTTGATGAACATCAGACCGAGTTTTCTTCTTTCATTCACAGGCCCTTGCACAGAGTAGGCTCTCCTTCCACGTCAGTGGGAACAGCCTTGCTCAGCACGACCTGCTCCCAGGCAGCCTGGTGGTGCACACCTGTCACCCCAGCAGCCTGGGAGGCTGAGGCAGGAGGATCACAGTTCAAGCCCAGCCTGGGCAATCCGACAACTCAGTGAGACCCTGTCTCAAAATAAAGAATAAAAAGGAGCTGGGGTGTAGCTCAGTGTGAAGGTCCTGGTTTCAATCCCCAGAACAACACTCAAACCAAAACAAACCAAAAACGTAGAAACAGTTTCAGAGGTATTTCTTTCCATAGACCAGCTCTTCATGTGTCTGTTTGCAACTGATGTCTTATTTTGTTACCTAATGATTTCTAAAAGCTGTTGTTCCTCTAGTTCTGTAGCCTGCCGGGTGCACATTGCCGTGCTGCTTGTTGCGTGCTTTTGTTGGGTGCTTCTTGCGGGGCTCCCGCCGCCGGTGATGGCAGCAGGTCTGTCTCCCGGGAGTCCCGGTCGGTGTCCGTTGTCACGGCTCAGTGATGGTTCACAGCGACTTCACTACGAAGCCTCATTTTAGTGTAGCTGCCGTGAGGTGTCGCGTGACGTCTAACCCTGCGTGCCGGCGCTCTCTCCGCAGGTATTTGAACAGCAGTGATAATGATTTGCAGTACTGGGGCCTGGACTACCCGCCTCTCACGGCTTACCACAGCCTCTTGTGTGCCTGCGTGTAAGTGTCTCTCCCTCTGCGCTGAGTGCTCCGCCGGCAGACACAGGAGTGGCGCCCGCCGCCTCGCTGCAGAGCGCACTGCGGGGAGCTGCTGTCGCCTGGGTGATGCCAAAAGGGTTTTAAGAGTGGTAGCCATCGGTTCGAACATTCCTATGATTTCTCTGGAGAGCATGAAATTTTGTTTTATTTTTTTCATGGAAGAAGAAAGTTTTTATATTTTATTAGTACCTACCTGTACTACATTAAAGTTAAAAAAAAAAACCTTAGAAAAACGAAATGTAAAACCTTAGCTTTGTTTGTTGTGGAAATGTTACTAATTGTACACAGGCTCCGGAGAACCATTTTAATGTGGGTTACAAAGCCTTCTTCCTGGGAAGACCCCAGGTAAATGGAAAACAGGTGCAGAGGGGCGGGCGCCTGTGTCAGGCTGGACACCCGACGCCACGGTGTCCCTTGCGGCTTAAGAGCGGGGCTGGAGTTCCTCTCCTTTGAAGGAATAGAGGATTTGTTGGAAGGTGAGGTGCTGTTCTCATGGAAGTCCGGCTCTGCTCTCTGGTAGTATTTCCACTCAGACTTGAGACTTTTGTCCACAAGAATTTGAGGGACTTCTTCATGGTATCTCTTGAATTCATTTTCCTTGTTTTGTTGTTTCAATTGTTTCTCTTTTGGGGTGTGTGAGGCTGCGGAGCGTTAGTGGGCTTGAACCCAAGGCTGTGCTACCCGTTACCTGCGCAGTACCTTTGGGGAGCCTGCGTCTTCCGAGACCCTTACGGTGAGGCAAGGGCAACCACCGTACATTGTGCTTTGGTCTGCAGGGCAGAGCGCATCGACCCCGCCTGGGTCGCGCTGCACACGTCCCGGGGGCACGAGAGTCCGGCGCACAAGCTCTTCATGCGAGCGACAGGTAAGGGGGCGGGCGTGAGGCTGACGTAGACTGACCGAAGGTACTGTTACTGTTCGTCCTCCTTTCTCTTCCTCCCTTCTTGCGTCTTTCGCAGTGCTGGGGATGGACCCAGGGTCTCATGCACGCTAGGCAAGTGCTCAGCCACTGCAGCTTTTTCAGTATTTGCCTTTGACACAGGATCTTGCTAAGCTGCCCAAACCTCAATCCTGTGATCGTCCTGTGCCAGCTTCCCAAGTAGCTGGGCTTATAGGCGGGTGACACGGTGCCTGGTTTTATTACTGTTTCTTGGTTTTTTGTATTGGGAATTAATTCACAGCCTTATGCTTCCCTGGGAGGTGCTGCACTGCTGAGCTAAATCCCTGGCCTTACTATTGTTCTTAATGACTGAAAATTGTGTAAGTGCATTTGGTGTGGTGGTGCATGCCTATAATCCCAGCAGTCTGGGAAGCTGAGGCAGGAGGATCATAAGTTTAAGCCCAGCCTGGACCACTTAGCAACTTAGTGAGACCCCGTCTCAAAATTAAAAGGAGCTGGGGGTTGTAGCTCAGTGCCGAGGCTCTAGTTCAGCCCCAGTGTGACCGGAGGCGGAGAAATGTGTAACTGCGTACGTGCCTATGTAGGTACACGTGTAATAGGACCAAATGTATGCTGAAAGAGAGTGGAGAGTAATTCCGGGCGCTTCACAGCCATTCCCCCACTTCCTTCTTCAAACACCCGGAGGAGGGAGATCCTGCTCCTATCCTTCCTGTAAGGGGAGGAGACCGAGGCCCAGGCACGGCAGGCACACAGCTTACCTGAGGTCAGAGCGCTGTCAGCTGAGGCCCCCGAGGTTCAGGTGCCAGTTTCAGAGCCCGAGTCCCTCGCCTGTCTCGGGAGCCGGGGCTTGAGGCGTGCGGCTGCTGGCGGAGGAGTCTACCGTCTCCACGTGCCGCTCTAGGAGTGGAGCACGATTAGCTTTGATCCTTAAACAAGCTTTACGTGCCAGAGGCTTTGGTGCTAGCTTGTGTCTCTTCCTGAAGGCTGGTGGACTCAGCTCTTGTCTTGAGGAGTGCACCCCCGTGCCTGGTGTGCTCACGGTTAAGCCACGTCAGGACAGAGGGGGAATGTGGCGTGTTAGAGAAGACTGACTTGTAAGTTAGCGTCGAGTGAGGCGCCCTGACCCAGCGCAGAGGGACGGAGGCCAGGGAGGAGGAGGGCAGGAGCTAAGCGGTTCCTGTAGCTCCTGAGGGGTGCGCGCTCAGAAGTGTTTGCTTGCTTTTTCAGTGTTCCTTGCGGACTTGGTGATTTACATACCTGCAGTGGTTCTGTACTGTTGTTGTATAAAAGAAATCTCAGCTAAGAAAAAGGTAAGCTTTAAGGCAGTCTGACATTTCACCTCTGTGAATGTTTGTGGATCGTAGTGCTGGGTATTGAATCTGAGCCTTCGTGCTGAGCTACATCCCTAACCCTTTTTTAAACGTTCAAGACAGCGTGCTAAGTTGCCCAGGTGGGCTTGAATCTGTAATCTTCCTGCGTCAGCCTCCCAGAGTGGGGAGATTACAGGCGTGCTCCACCATGCCCAGCTTGTGGTGTTTCTCGTGTTCTTTAGTCAGCATAATAATGATGTACCTTAAAGCAGCTGTGCTTTGGGGAGTAGATAGACTAATGAGGAGCATTGTATCTCCTGTCAGTTCTCATTCGGAGAACATCAACTTCCTCTACACTAACTACTCTAGAAGTTACATGCTGGTGGGTCAAACACCGTGCTGTGTTTATTATTTAACTGGCAAGTCTGAATTTTGAGCTGGTGTTTGAGAACCCCTAAGCTGAAGGCTTTGGAAAGCGGCTCTTACCCTCTCCTAGTCGCAGCCATCAGCTCTCCTCAGCCGCTGTAGACAGGCTGTCTTCTCTGAGTGCTTCGTCTGAAGGTTTTTCTGACAAGTGCCCTTCAGTGGTCTCCCTTTGCGAAGTGTCCTCCGCCACCGCCGGGCAGACCTGAGTGTCTGCGCAGTTGGCTGGGCCCGGGCCGCGGGGACAGAGGCCCCGTGCTCTGGGAGGTGGGGACCTTCACTGCTCTGCCGCTGACAGCTGCACTCCACCCGCCCTGCGACAGAGGCTCCCTTTCTCCACAGGCCGCGAGTGCCCTCTGCATCCTGCTGTACCCAGGCCTCATCCTCATCGACCACGGACATTTTCAGTATCCTTTCCTGCCCGCGTAGCCTGAATCCCAGGCCTCATGTGTGTCGTCACGTGGTTGTGTGTCGTCCCGTGGTTGTGTGTCGTCCCGTGGTCACATCTTCCTTGCTGGGTGCTTGCTCGTTTAGCTGCTGTATTCCCATGAAGGAGAGGAGTCTCCCCTCCAGACTGGTGACGAGGAAAGCACAGCTTCCTTGCAGCAGATTCCTTTGTCCTCCTCTGCTTGGCTTGGAAACAGTCTAACTGGTGAACTCCTTTTGCGGAGTTGGAAGGAGAATGCCACATGTGGTCACGCTGTCCTGATTGTCCAGGGGCACAGCGTGTCTTCTGTTTTTTGTGTCTGACACTGAAGAAAGGAAAAGTCTTACAGTTTTTTAAGCTATGAAACTGTTTTTGTAACAGGAATAGCTTGAAGCTTTAGGAAACTAAAACTAAATAAATCTGTGGCTTTTCCTTTTTTGATACAGTAAGGAGCCTTGAAACAATTAAGTTTTAGAGGATAAGTTGATAAAGTCTACGTTTACCCAGTTTGTCTTCAGATGTACGGTTATAATCTCCATCCATCTCTCTTGTTTTTTGTCTTTTTGAGACAGGGTCTCGCTACCCAGTTCAGGCTGGCCTTGAGCTCATTTTGTAGTCCAGGCTGGCCTCGAACTCACAAAGATCCTCCTGCCTCAGCCTCCCGAGTGCTGGGATTACAGGCGTGCGCCACCACCCCTGGCCCTATCCATCTCTCTTAAAGGAAAAAAATACACAACAGCATAGCTGGTTAATTAACAGCTTTTCCTTTTGATGTTGATCTGTTTGGGTTACAGTAAAATTTAAATTACTCTGTGTGTCTTTAAAAAGAACTTGTAAAAGATACTCCAGTCTATAATGGTTTTACCACGTTTTACTCTGACCACTTTTCCTAAGTTAGTTTTTTTATGGGTGTGTTGTTTGTAGGAGCATGTCTCTCCAGTACACTGAGATCAAAAACAGTGTTATTTGCCAGATTTTTAAAAGCGTAGCTCTTCTGTGATACAATATTCGTACAGAACATTACGAGAACGTTAATGTGTGGCTTAATGAATTGGCAGACTGTAGGTTGGGGAACAGTACTGTTGGTATCTAGAGAACTGTGTACTGTTGCGCACCTCCCAAGCCTGTCTCCTCTCCCCTTTCTCACATTCTAACCGCATCTCAGTTGCTTTTCCGTGGCTGGGACATAGTACCCAGCACCCATGACCTAAGGGAGGAGAAGTCTGCCTGGCTCACCGTTGCGGTGCATGCGGTCCTTGGTCAGTGTCTCCAAGGTGGAAGGGCCTGGTGGAGGAGAGCTGCTCACAGCATGGCAGCCCGGAAGCAGACAGCAGGAGCACCTGGGGAGGGAGGTGCGTTCTTTCAGGCTGTACCCCTAGGGACCGCCTCTAGGCACCAGGCCCTACCTCCGAAGTCAGCTGTATAACCCCATGTCACCGTCCAGAAGCCCTGCCTCTGAACACATGGGCTTCTGGAGGGACATCTAGGTCTATGCCACAGCACCCTGCTAGGACTCCTGTAGGTCCCCAACCATACAGAAGGGACAGCACAGCGGGTATTTTTCTGTGTTGGGTGTTTTGGGCTCAGCTTTTTTTTTGGAGACAGGGTCTCACTATGTATTTCAGGCTGGCTTTGAACTTGATTATGTAGCCCAGGCTGGCCTTGAACTCACAGCGATCCTCCCGCCTCTGTCTCCCAAGTGCTAGGATTACAGACGTGTGCTACAGTGCCCACTTGGGCTCAGCGTGTTGTGAGAATCATTTATGTAGCTGGGCATAGTTGTTTGTTCACTTTTATTCCTTACAGGGTTCCATTGCATGAGGAGATGTAATTGTTAGTGACAGGCATCTGGGTTGTGTCTAGAATTTGGACAAGTTGTTTTGGTGGTACTGGGATTAAACCCAAGGCGTAGCTTTGCCAGGCAAGTGCTGTACCACTGAGCTATGTCCTCATTTTGGTTTTGAGAAGGGTCTTCCGAAGTTGAACAAGCTGGCCTCCAACTTGTGACCCTTCTGCCTCAGCCTCCTGAGGAGGTGGGATTGTATGTGTGGTGCGCCACCACACCCAGCTTGTACGTCTGGTGCGTGGAGTTGCCGAGTACAGTGTGTACCAGGCCTAGTTTTGGTCACTCCCGTTGTTCAGCATGGTGTGTCAGTCAGTGTTATTGCGGCAGTGCTGTGAGAGTGCCTGGCCTCCTGTCCACAGGGCTCTGTCCTTTGCAGCAGTGATACGACTGAGGTGTGCTGGGACAGTGACCCTCGGGGTGTCTGAGCTGCGAAGCTCTGTTCTCCTGGAGCTCCTGAGCCCTTAGCACTGGGGCGCTCTTCGGCGCAGACTTGCTCCCGGGGAGGGGCCTCCGGCCCGGCCCTCCTTGCTGTGGGAGCTCCTCCCTGTCTGTGTGTGTCCTTTTAAGTGTACTGCTTTGAATTCCGGGTGACCTCCTTAACGCAGGCACACATACAACGCCGTGAGCCTCGGCTTCGCCCTGTGGGGGATCCTTGGGGTGTCTTACGACTGGGACCTGCTCGGGTCGCTGGCCTTTTGTTTAGCTCTAAATTACAAACAGATGGAACTTTACCATTCCTTGCCGTTTTTTTGCTTTTTACTTGGCAAGTGTCTTCAAAAAGGCCTCAAAGGAAAGGGGTGAGTGACCTTTAAACTGAACCCAGCTCTTTACCTCCAGTGTACTTTTACCTCCAGTGACCTCACCTTCGTGGAATTGTGCTGGCCATAAGAACGGGAAGAGAGTGACGAAGTCAGTTCTGTGTCCTTTTGCATCTCCCGGCCTAGAGGTGCCCTCGAGCAGCGTGTGCCCCCCGCGGGGGCGAGGCTGGCTCCTCCGCCGGTGGTGCGTGCTCACGGGGCCCGGCCCTGTGGCGTTTCTCTGATGGCACCTTCAGCTCTGCGGAAGTGGTGTGAAGCGAAAGGATCGTGGGGGTCGAAGGCAGCTCTCAGGGGAGAGGTGACCTGCTTAGCTCTGATTTGAGCTGACTCCACTCAAATGCGTCAAGGGCCCGGATGTCGCACGCCGCCCTCCCGGCAGCGCGGTCCCCGAGCTCCCCCGACCAGGCCCTTCTGTCTGCCCAGGCTCGGCTTGCTGGTGAAGCTCGCGTGCACAGTGCTGGCTTCCTTCGCCCTCTGCTGGCTGCCGTTCTTCACCGAGAGGGAGCAGGCCCTGCAGGTCCTGAGACGCCTCTTCCCCACGGACCGAGGACTGTTTGAGGCACGTGGAGCCCTTCCTCGGCCCTCTGTGTGAGCCCTGTCACTGGTAGTTCACAGGGAGACGCGGGCGCAGCGGTGATGCACTGCCCGCACCCTTCCCGCTTCCGATGGGCCGGGTGTGGACCTTGGCCAGTGCCCGACGGCAGCAGGCTTGTGCTGTCAGACCCTGAGCCAGTTCTGTGTTCGAGCGGAGCACGGGCCGCGGGAAAACAGCGAGGGAGTTGCGGCTGCACCGCTAACAGTGCTGTCATGTTTTGGTTAAGATTCTCTTTTCAGTCTTAGGAAAGTATTTGTGAAACTAATAATCATGTTTGCTTCAGAAAGAGCTCATCATGCCTTCCAAGATATATAACCTTCAGCACAGTAATGCTTAATGAGGATCTTTCATTTCATTTAATGCTAGTTTAATCACTCTTGTTAAACTTTTATTACATGAATAATTTGATCATTTAGATTTAGTAATTAGATTAAACAAACCATTTTTCTGAAACAAAAGGGCCTTTTAATAAAGTTAGACAGAGACAACATATTTGTAGATAATTTGCTTTTGAATAACATTTCTTTTTAAAGAGAATTGTAAGAGCCTGCGTAGCTTTCTGATTCTGAGCACACACGAGTCTAGCGTTGCTCAGAGGCTCTGGGAGGATGGGGCCAGCGTTTGAAAGGTGGCAGGGAGCTGCGGCTGCGGGGCAGCTGCTGGCCGGGCTGGCCGGCCTCCCTGGGCAGCTTCCCTGGCCCTCTCGGGCCCCAAGGGGGTGAACACTGAGCGGAGCCCCACCAGGAGCAGAGGCAGAGCCGTCGCCGGAGCCCCTCTTCAGCACCCGACTTCACCGTAGGTGGGAGTGTCCCCTCTTCCCGTCTCATGCATGGTGCTGGACACGGTGACCGAGGCGGGCCTAGAGGTGCTGGCACCGAGGAAGAGGATGCGCCTGTGACCCCTGGGGCGGGGCCGGCCAGCCTGATAAAGAGGCCCTGGCGTCGGGCTGCACGGCTGGGTGCCGGCAGCCATGTGGACCTTGGGTTTGCGAACCAGAGAGCTGTAGTTACTAATTTAATTTTGAAAGAGATCCTAGCACAACTTCTGAGGTTTTTAAACGTCTCAATTTATAAGCAGTTAGCTCTTGTCATTGCTGGTACCCTCTGGGTGGCTAAACAAGTAATAACTTCAGGTATGTGATGAGAAAGGTCTGATGTGACAGGTGATGTGCAAAGCGGGGATAGAAGTTCCTTAGAAAGATTTCCAAAGGAAAAAATTCGGTGCTTAAGGATAGCGTGCTGCTCTTTGAACAGTGTTCGTGCTCCTTGGGAGTGTCTGGGTGGTGGCCAGCCGATTAGCTCCCACTACAGAAGAGCGCAGAATGCTTGGGAGTGGGGCTATGTGTGTGCACCGCTTGAAGCGTGGTCTGCTTTGCTATCCGGGTGTCTCAAAAGCTTAGAGATTAGGCTGTGCACGTCATGTGCTCTCATATTTCTTTGAATTATGCCAAGTGTAAAACCAGCAAATCTCTTCAAAGGATAAAGTGGCCAACGTCTGGTGCAGCGTCAGTGTCTTTGTGAAGGTGAAGGACCTGCTGCCGCGCGATGCCCAGCTACTCGTCAGGTAACTGTGCGCTTGGCTTACGCAGCGTCGCGGAGGGGGGCCGGTGTCCTGCTGGCACAGCTCCTCAGGGACCCACCCGGGCAGCCGTGAGCCTTCACCAGGCTGGCTCCCTCCGCAGAGTGCACTGAGCGTGCGTCCGTGTTCCCGGCTTCGTGGTTGCTAGTCCTGTAGGGCCCAGGGTCAGCCAGGAGAGCGGAGCAGGTCGGAGATGAGTGTGTGTGTGTGTGTGCGCGCGCGTGCGCCTGTTACACAGAACTGGCCAGTGCACCGAGTGCTGGGCAGGCCGTGGGCAGGTGTGTGGGGCACAACGGTGACTGGCTGGCTTCATGAGGGGGCTGTGCCCCAGGCTGGGGCTTCCTGCCAGCGGGGGCTGGCACGGCACCTGGGGCTGTGTGGCAGCCGGCGCTATGACCCCCTTGTCTCTGCAGCCTGAGCAGCCGTTTCGTGCAGAGAGAACCCAGGGCCTTAGCTGCGCTGGCCAGGCGGCGAGTGACAGGACCAAGAGGGGCGGGTCAGCAGCCCCAGGGCACCTTCCCTGGCCACCGTGCCGTGTGACCTGCCCTCCTGAGCTCACTGTGAGCTTGAGGAGAGCCAGCGGTCACCTGTGCCAGAGGAGGCCCGGGAGAGCCCTCCAGGGAAGTCCACAACGCCGTGTTCAGATAGAGGAGGGTCTCTTTTTTTTTAAGGTGGAAAGCTTTATTTAGCTCACAGTCTGGGGAGGTTTCAGTCTGTACACGGCTGGCTCCAAGGCGGGGTGGCACATGGCAGAGGGCAGCGGATTGAATGGACCTCCAACTGTATTTTTTGTACACTTTCTATTCATGGTGTTAAATAGAAAATAAGTAGTATTCAGTCTTAAATGCTTTGTTCTTTATCGTAAGATCTTGTATAAAAGTATATGTGTGTTTCAGGGTATATAGTATACTTACATGTTATTTGGACTTCAAGTAAATATGAAGTTAAATTGATCTTTAAATGTGATCTTTAAATTTTAAAAAATGTTCCAGCTGGATTTATACCTCTACAAAGGGAAGAGACAGACTTTCCTTTTGTTCGTGTTCCAGCTTCTGCGTTACCTTTGTGAGCTTGCTCCCTGTGTGTGTAAAGCTGACCCTCCACCCCTCTCCCCAGGGATTCAGATTCGCTCTGGTAAGTTCTCTTGCCTCTAGTGCTTCACTCTTGCTACAGCCTTGTCTCCTGCTCTGAGCAAGAGGCCCTGGGCCACCCGAGGCTGTGGTCCGGTGGGTCCAGGTCCATCTGCGCCCCGTGCCTGCTGCGGTGGGCTCGAGGCTGGTGGGGACGGGCGTGCGGCCGGCAGGGCCGGCCTGACTTGCAGATGCTGTGGGCCGCTGCTCGGCCTGTCCAGGCTGTGGGTTGTGCTCTGCGGTGCTTAAGATGCTGCTGCTGTGTGCCTTGGTCTGTAGAGTGACCTTGAAAAACAGCTGTTCAAGTGTCACCACCGTGGCCGTGAGCACCGCAGAGCTCTGGGTTAGCAGAGGGGGCAGCCGGGTGGCCCCGGCTGGGGGTGAAGCCGCCAGCATCCTTCCTAGGATCTCCACAGCCGGTGCTCCCTGCTGTCCCAGGAGGCCTGGGGAGATCGAGCAGTGCCACAGTGTGCCCCAAGATAGCGCAGGGTGCCTGCTTTGCGAGGGGAGTGGGAACGGGGCCCACAGTGACAGGCACGGGGCTGCGGGCAGGGGCACGGTGCGCCTGTGGGGCCTAGACTGCCTGGCGCGCCTGTCCCATGTGCTGAATGCAAACTTGTGGAAATAGACGGAAATAACTGATACAAACCCCAAGTGCAGACGGATTTATAAACATATAATATAGTTTATTGCAGGGGACATTTTAAATGCATGGCAACAGATTTTCTGCTACTTTTACGTTTTGATCTGTTTGCCTTTCATGCTTTTTAATTTAAACTATCATCAAGAGGATGAAGGTATGATCCTTGTACCTGAGGTAGTCAGTGAGTTTTTATTAATGACAGCGTCTTTAAGCCAGGCATGGTGGTGTGTGCCTGTATTCCCCACACACTGGGAGGCTGAGGCAGGAAGATCTCAAGTTTGAACGCATGCAGGCCAATTTAGACCCAGCCAATCAGACTTGCTCAATATTAAGAAAATAAAATGGGCTGGGGATATAGCTCAGTGCAGCAGGCCCGAGTTCAACCTCCAGAACTGTAAAAAACACAAGTTGCTCTTAAAGTCTAAAGTATTGTGCACACTGTGTTTGTATTTTGCTTCTAAAGAAGCTATAATAACTAGGCAGGTTCCCTTGGAGTGAGTTTTCCTTAAATTCACCATGAAACTGGCCTCGTTTCCCTTCATCTCACCTAGGTCAGCTGTGCGCTGTCGTTCTTCTTGTTTTCCTTCCAAGTCCACGAGAAGTCCATTCTCCTGGTCACGCTGTAAGTAGACTGTCTGGAGCGTGCGTTTAGTGCTGTGTGTTTGTAAGTAAATTTACTTCGGGCGGGGACAGGGTGTCATTGTGTAGTTGAGGCTGGCCTCAAATTTAGGGCAATCCTCCTGCCACAGCCTCCCCAGTGCTGGGATTATAGGTGTGCGCCACCATGCCCGGCCTTATAAGTGAATTTATAATTTACATAAAATTAGTTGAATGCAAAATACAGTGGTAAAATTTCTTGCAGTTATGTTAGTTTACATTTTAAACAAAAACCGGGTAGCATTACGACACGCTCCCTCCTTCCTTGTTTCTTACGTGTCTTCTGTGCGCCGCCGGAGCCCTCAAGTGGGGCCTGCCCGGCGCTGTCCCCCACTGCCCGTGCCCCTCCTCCTCGGGTGGCCTCTGCGGGCTTTCAGGCCCGCCTCAGGGGC